GGGGGGCTCTTTTGTTTTGCAGAAAAGCCCAGCTCCTGCCCCTGCGGCTTGCCGCGCCCAGAGACCGCGGGCACAGCCTGGGGAGGGGAAGCAGATGGAGTTTGGAAAAACGATATACACCCCTGGATGTAGCCGCCGCCGCTCCCTCCCTCGGCAACCTGCGCGGAAGCGAAGTTGCCCGGACTTGCTAGGGCAAACTTCTAATACCCCGACGCCGGGGCGACACGTGAACCATAGTTACCACTTTACGCCGCGAGCAGATGGCACGCCAGTTAACCCTGCAAACTAGACTGGAAACCCAGCCCGAATTTCTTTTTTTAAAAAAAATATTTGCACGTGTCCGGGAGTTCCTTTTTTGAAACATTGCAAATAACTAGGGGAGTAAAAAACCTTATTGAATTATTTTTATTGCAGTAATGGTTGGCATTTTGGAAAGTCAAGAAAATGTCCTCATCATGACTGATTTGTGTTAAATATTTCACTTTCTTCCATTTTAGTTTCTTACTTAAAATAGAAATATTGGTCGAGTAGGGACGGTCTTTAAAGAAAGACTAGTCTTTAGAATTGTTTTGGATTTACAGAAAATTGGAAAGCTACTACGAGGACCCATATGTGCATCCCCCACTGTTAACATCGGTATAGTGTATTTGTTAAAATTAGCGAACTAATGATCAATATTGGTTATCATTCTTCACTAAAGTCATTACTTTATGCAGATTTCATTTTTACCTAATGTTTTTATTTGTTCCTTCTGTTTTAGGATATAATACTTCTAGTCGCGTTTCCTTAGGCTGTGACTATTGCTTGACACTTTCATCATGTTTGGTAACTCGGACAAGTTTTGAGGAGAACTGGTCGGGCACTTTGGAAGACATCCCTTTGTTAGAAAGTGATGTGAAACCACCTTTGTAAAAGCATAGACATCTATAGACATCTCCCTCCAAATCACTACTTCACAGCAAGGACATCATTCTCATTACTGCTTTGTGTACCGAGCGAGGCTCTATTCTAAATGGGATTAAAGTATGAATTTATTTTCATGCAAAAAAAAATTGAAATCCACAGTTTTTTCCTAATACGCATTTCCCATGAACTTTTTTTGAAGACACCACATAGATATTTTAAATGAACTTGCAATGGAATTCAGAATGCTCATTCAAACCCTTTATACTTGCTGGTAAAATGGTAATCAATACAGACTAAAAAAAAAAAAAAAAAAAATCACTGCTAGGTCATATGTTAAAAAGACCCCCAAAAAATCATGCCTAAGGAAAAGTAGTAAGAGTAATAAAAACTGACATTTTTATAACCAGAATATCATACTGAACTGAACTCTGTTTTGTAGATAGACACGTAAAGAGAGACTACAGCTGTCCCCTTCATCTTCAGTTTCACTTTAAGTGGTTTCAGTTTTCCCAGACAACGGCAGTCCAAAAATAGTTGCATATAATACAATAAGATATGTTGAGTGAGAGAGATCACAGTCACACTTTTATTTTAGTATATTGTTAGAATTGTTCTATTTTATTATTAGTTGCTATTATTAATCTCTTACTCTGCCTAATTTATAAATTAAACTTTTTCATAGATATGTACATACAGAGTTAAAGTGTATATAGTGTTTGGTTCTATCTGAGGTTTTAGGTATCCACTGGGAGTCTTGGAACACTTCCTTTGTAGGGAAGGAGACTACTAGGTAAAGAAATCACAATTTATTAAGCATTTATGTGGAAGCAGAAGATTTTGGTATGGAAATCTTTTTTTCCTAATTGTACTCATCTTCTATGGTTGCTCTAACACATTACCACAAACTGTCTGACTTAAGAGATCAGATTTTTTCTTCCATAGTTCTGGAGGTCAGAAGTCCAAAATCAAGGTGTTGACAGTCACACTCCCTCTGGGTCTCCAGAAGATAAACTATCCTTTGCCTTTTCCAGCTTCTGGTGGCTGTCTGCTGTCCTTGACTTGGGGCTGCATTCTTTCCAATCTCTGCCTCTGTGGTCCGTTGCCTCTTCTCTTGTCTGTTAAATCTTTGCTGTGTGTTTTGAGGGTACTCACTGGATTTTGGCCTCACCTGACCAATACAGGATATCATCTCAAGATGCTTAATTTAATAACATCTGCAAAGATCCTTTTCTCAAATAAGGTAATGTTCACAGTTCTAGAGCATAGGATATGAATATACCTTGTTAGGGGCCACCATTCAGCTCTCTAGATCAACAGTCAAATGGTTAAGTCCATTCATTTCTCTGGTATTTCAAAATTCTAATGGCTGTTTTTCTGAGGTTAGGCAGTTTTAGGTTACAGACCTTTTCTTAGCATTTTCTGAGTAAAGCAGTTTTTCTATCTATTTTCATTTGAAAGTAGCCTCTATCCAAATCAAGAAATACACAGCTAATCTACAGCTTCAGACACTTGCAATTTCATTGATTGTTTGAAGAATGATCTCATAATAGATTTGGAAGAGAACTAGAAAATGAATGTTTGAGGGAAAAATTTAGAAACATTATTCGAACGCGTTTATTTATATCAGCGGTTAACAGTTCCAGAATTGGTACGTAATCTGTCAATCTCTCCATTATTCACTAGGTGGCTGATGGTGCCTGCGAACTGATTGGTGATCAAGAGGCACTCCCTCTACAGGGCCTCTCCATGTGGCCTGACCTTCCTTACAGCCTGGTAGTTCATGGTACTTGGTTTCCATGGTGGCTTCATGGATCCAAGTCGAGTGTCCCATCTGGCAAAGTAGAAATTGTATTGCTTTTTGTGACAGAACTGAAAAACTAAAATAGTACTGATTCTGCTATACTTTTTTGGATGAAGCAGTCAAAAGTTCACATATTCAGGTGGAGAATGCACATATCCCACTTCTAGGTTGGAGAAGTATAAAGAATTTGGGAACATATATAAAAGCTGGTTTCATGCCAGTTGAAGTATTTTACAGTTCTACCTAAATATTGGGATGTTCAGAAAGTCATGAAGCATTTTTTAAAAATTATTTATTAAATTTTATTTATTCATTCATTTATTTTTAATGAGAGAGAGAGAGAGAGAGAGAGAGAGAGAGAGAAAGAGAAAGTGAGAAAGCAAGCCACCAAGACCGGGACTCGAACCATGGTCAGCCATGTGGGAGTGTCCAGTGCCCTAACCATCATGCCTCCTGCTGGTCCCCCATGATGCATTTTTGCATAGAAAAATATGTCATGACTTTCCTGACAACCTAATAGTTCCTGGCTAAAAGTCATTGATTTTGGAATAGGATTATATTACTTAGATTGCAGTAATCTCCAAGATGCTATATGATGTAATACTGTGGTTCTCAGCCAGGATCACCTAGGAGATTTTAAAAAATACCAGTAGCTGAACCCCAATGCAGATATCTGATTTACCTGATCTGGAATTAGACTTGGGTGTGAAGTATTTTTAAATGCCTAGTATCTTGTATCTTGTTAATTGTATGCTGCTTACCTTGATTCTTAGGAAACTTTTTACTCAGTGGTTTCAGAAATGGATTCTCAGGTCCCATTCATGAGGACAGGAGGAGTCAGGCAGGAGTTCTGATCTCTGGAGTAGGTTCTATGTCTTGCTGGTCTATAGGTATGTCACTAATATTTGGAAGGAGTTGGAAGGAGCTGAGATTGTAAATGAGAAATCTGATGGGTGAGGTGGAGGTACAACAGAAGAGTGAGTAATGAGGGCTATGCTCAGGAAAATATACACAGACGATATTTGACATTCCTCTGGGAAAGACTTCCTGCACTACTTTTCAATAGTCTTTTCTCTTGGGGTTTCATATCCCAAGATTTATCATACTTTACAAAAATAAGAAATTTATTACACTGTACAGAAAGTATATTATGGTGAAATGCAATTCCTGTCAGTCAGCTGAAGGGCAAGACAGAATTGCCCAGCTAATGTAACCACTTGCTCAATATTTTCCTTTTCCTCCACTACTTCATGCACAGCCATCTTGCTGTGGCGTATATTCTCAAAAGTACAGTCATGGAAGGGAACTGGGAACTGATTTTTCTCCACAAAGGTAAGTCTCCTCAAGTTGATTGGTTTAACAATTTTCTTAACTGAGGG